CACTTACTATTAACTCTTTGGTTGAAAATCATGTCAATTTGAGAAATTATAATACTACCCAACTTTATAGCGTTGAACGGGTGATGCGTTGAATCTTCATAATTCTGACATGCTGCATGGGTGGTTGGAAGGCGCTTACTGGTAGAGGTCCTACTTCTTCTCTGTCTTACTTTTACCCTGCACCAAATGATCATTATTGCGTCTGATCTATCTCTCTATCTATCTCTCTATCTATCTATCTATCTATCTATCTATCTATCTATCTATCTATCTATCTATCTATCTATCTATCTATCTATCTATCTATCTATCTATCTATCTATCTATCTATCTATCTATCTATCTATCTATCTATCTATCTATCTATCTATCGCACGCGTACAGTGTTGGACTGTAGGTGTTCAGTCAGGGGACACTGCCCATACACTTGACTAGAGCTCTATGGGGAATCTTCTGTTGTTTCCCCTTTACTCTTGTCTTCACGGTGAGCAGCCATGTTGCGAAATTCGATAGTTGTAGGAATGAACCAACAAGTCTGATGGTCAAGACCCCAGCAAGTTCACTGAACCAACAAGTCTATTTAGTTTAGTTTTAGAAAGTGTTTTACGTCACTTGCAACACAATAAGGTCATTTTAGTACAGAAAATTAAAGGTGTTACAAGAGAGAAACAAACACAAAAAGGAGGGGAGATAAAGATGATATATTATGTTTAATAGGAAAGAAGAAGTAATCCACACCAGAGCACCTGCCAACCACCCCACACCATCAGATCTGATAGTCAAGATCTCAGCAAGTTCACTGAGATTGACTCCACAGCTTGTGTTTCGTGTTTCCAAACTATGTGGGAGGGGCACATGATGATCATGACTGTAAGTCGCATCGATATCGATGGTGATTTAACATTCTCAATGCCTGTTCATTTCACGTGACACCCTTTCGAGACACCCCAAAAGGACATTGAAAAAAAACAACAACATACAAAACACCACCAGCACCAGCACCACCAACACCACAACCAAAACCACTACCACTACCGGCAACAACAACAACAGCAACAACAACAAGAACAACAGCAACAACAACAAGAACACAAAATACGACAACAAGAACAAACCAAACCCGACATCAAAAAAGAAAAAGAAAGAAAAAAGAAAACCAATCCCAAACAAACAAATAAAAACAAAAAAGTACAAACAAACAAAGGTACAAACAAACAAACAAATTTGGATAATACCATTAGATTGACATTTAAAAAGGTAGACCTCAGAAACTGTCAAAAGATCACTGGAACAAAGGAACACATCGCATGCGGCATACGTGAGAGACAAAGAAAAGGCTGTGAGGAAGAACAAGGAAGTAATGCTGCATAATCATACCATCGGGACACGTTGGATCATACCCG